GACGTGTCGGCCACAACGCAAGCAGCCGTCCTCAGCTGAAGAACAGGGCTGTTTCAAAGACAGCGTCATTAGGACGTTGTGGCCGAAACGTCGTGAGAATTTTATCTTATTATGTTTTCTTTTTATCATTTTATTATTTCCCTTCTACGTGACTTTACCGAAAGGACCAAGAATATAGTTGCACTATGCTTGAAAACCACGTTTCATGTGACAGACTGAAACCCGGACTCGGACGGATGCAATATCGCAGTGATGCTCGCTCAGTCTCTCAGATCTCCGAGACACCCGGCCACCTCCTAAGGATTAATTTTAACTAATTCCACCATATTGTTTTGATGGAGCATCTTTGGCCACTAAACCATGGCATTTTGATGATCATCAAATAACAGGAAGTTGAATCAGAGGTAACCAACATTGTGTTGCCATCAAAAAAATATTGAGGATCCTGAAAAGTAGAATATCACTGGCAGCGCGCAAACGGTGTTCGGCCACTGAACAGGCCTAATACCGTACACGCTGTGCAAAAAAACTTACTTGGCTTCTGTCTTTTTTCCTTTAAGAATAGAGTCAAGTTTTTACTTATTGTGCAAAACATCCTGAGAATTTTGACCGCAAGGATTCAACGGAAGGATGGTCGAGTCACCGCTCATCACCTCCGTGAGTTAACGCAATGGTTTTCAGCAGTGGAAGAATAAGGGACACGTTTAATGGAGCGTGAATCGGTAACGGTGCCATGCTGTATCGGCTAATCGCGCAGCTTGGTGAGTCACGGTGAACGGCACCATTCATCGGACGAGCAGTTCTCACGAGCTGGTGAGAACGTGGGACTCGTGCACGCTTCAGCGGGGGGGGGGGGGTCATTGCACGCGTGGGCTTTCTTTTCCCCTTCCTCTTTATGTTTCTCCATCACGGCCTGACAACGCAGCCACGCACTGCTTATGACTCGTGAGTAAACCATGTCACGGGGATGCAGTGAGGCAGCGACGGTGTTGGCGGGGATGGGGCTTGCTGCACGCAGTCGATCAACCTCACGAGGTAATTTACCACAGTATCAGTAACGCGCGATTTCTCATTGGGTGCGGCCACTTTCAAAAGCAACTGTATTTCAACTGCCCGACAGATTGTGAGAGTGAGAAAGCGTTTGTGGGCGATACAGTCGATGTTATTTCAACTAAACTGTAGGTAACTCCAACGTCTCCCAAGATGTCTGGCCAGTGTGGATGAGCAAAATAAAATACTCACAAGGGAGGGCTCTCAAGAGCTCCCACAGTGGCTGTCAGCAGCAGCGTCAGCAAGTATTTGCAGGGCGGCACCTTTACGTTATATTATTAATATGCAACTTGTTTTTACCTTTGGATTATTTCATTCGCTTGTACTTTCATAAAAAAAAACTTCAAGTGCTCCAGGAAGTGTTTTTTTTTGTCCTTGCTAACAAAATGATCAGACTTATCGTGCACAGCTTATTCTACGCACCCTCTGTTAGCAATACCACCGGCATTTGCAGGACAACCCCACAATGCACCCCAAAAATAAACAGCTTCAGGCACGGCTTCCTCGGTTTTCAACCTAAAAATCACAAATTTTCGTCGGATTTTTTTTTCCACCCAAGTTGTTTCTCTGTTGCTCAGCCTCAACTATTTAAAGATTTGCGTTATATATTTTCTTGTTGTTTTTACCACTCGCCAAAAAGATCTCCGCCGCTTTTCTTTTGTGGCCATCTTCCCAGGCCGGCTGCGGCGGAGGCGGCAGCGTCATTACGTAAACGCTCACAGTGGGCCCCGGCAGGGGTCACCAGCACGGCCACTTGGCGGGAGGAATGCGAGTAATGGTGCAAACGGGAAGGAGCAGATCTTAAGAGCAGATCTCAGGCGCTGATAACGAACGGGCTCTGGTGAAAAACCGACAACAACTAAAACAAAATGATACATACGGCCACCACTTGCTTGTAACGAGTAAACAATTCATTTTACGGGCCTAATTTTTCCCCCTTTTCTTTACCCCAACGTTTACTCCTGCGATTTGTGCTATTTTTTGTATTAAAAAATAAAGATTGACATTGCTAAAACAATCGTGTAACTTTAACCGCTGATTGTTGGCGATAGTCTATCCGAAAGCGGACAGTATGTTTATAACGCCTAACTCTTGCTGAGATGCCGTTAGCTATTGAACACGTAATGATGCACATATGCATCGATGCATATCAATTCTTAAGTTCACGATATGTCCATCAGGAGCGTCGTTTTTTATTTGTATACATTGTATTGGTAATGAGTTTGTGCGACACCTGCAGCCACGAGTGGCCGCAATTTCACCGCGATGAAAAACAAAATATCGGTTCTCAACTCCTGTTGAGGACCGCGATTCATGACAATTCATCCACTCGCCAAAGTTCTGCATCGTTACACCTCTCCTAGTTGCTATTACTTTATATCCTGACTCCGATTGACATTTTCCTATTGAGTAAATAGACACTGACGTTTTTTGTTGTTGTTGTTACACTTTCTTCAATGTCTCAGCTTATCTCTATGCAATCTCCTGGCCTCGATTAAACGATTAGCTCTTAGTTTCTATCCAGACCTTAAGCTTTCACTGCGTGGCTACAGACAATTTTCGGCAGTTACCTACTCTGTTTCCCATTAGAGCAACGAACACTCAACTGGTGAACAAATACCACCCTCACAGACAGACCACTATCCTGTGGTGGTGCAGCGGTTTGTGCACTGCGCTATAAACCACCCGAGTTTGACTCCCGGTCACGGCCAACGTCATTGGCAAGCGATATCCAAGCCTGTTTCTGAGCTCCCTTCACCAACCTGCACTGACCAGTTTGGTGAAGTATGGTCAAACAACTCCAATGACTGACATGGCGTGGGGGAGGCCTTGATATACAGCAGTGATTTGACACAGAGCTGTCGGGTTTGAAAGCGTATACATAACAGACTACAAAAAAAACATCACTGCATTTTTTTTTTCCCCCTTGTCGATTTAAACACGTTCACTCCGATAATGAATCATGGTTTCCCCATGAGCTGACACTAATGGATGGGGAAGGAAGATGTTAACAGAGTGTAGGACTGCTGCGTAGAATAGCTTGTCAATAGCACGTCTGCTTATGCTCACACAAGTCCGTGACCCCGGAGGGGGAATTTGGATCCCGAGTCCCTGGACGTGGTCAAGAGACGCAGCCAAAGACCGCTCCTCTGCGGGGTTGTCGTGCAGCTCTTCCCACAGCCACACTGCCCCTCCTGTCCCGTCGTCAGACTGATACTGGCGTGGTTGATCCAGGGCTACAAAGCCAAATTCACATTGAGAGCAAAAGAGAAACAGTTGCCCCTTTCGATGTCTCCACACACCTATATATAATATTGTTTAGTTCACAGGCCTATTGGCTTTCCAGACCAATTTTATCAAGCAGCATTTTGTTCCAAGCTAGCAAATCCTGCTCTGGTTTCAACCTTCTGGGTCCCATCAGCAGAGCCGCAGACGTTAAACAAATCTGGGTTATCAGATGTTTTTGGCAAGAGCACTCCTTAAGCCATTTTAAGGAAGATTCAACCCCAAAAAACTAATATTTATTATCTTGTGGATAAACAGCTCTTATCTTGTCGATAAGGACCAAGAAGGACTGTGTTTTGCAGGTTGTCCAACACAGAGTTTGAAGCTTTGATGAGGAACACTGCTTTAAGTTACAGCTGGATGTCCAATTATATCACTTTTGTGATGTCACTGCAATGACACTACCATAACATTTGAATGTCAGTGAATTGAGGTCACCACAATGCTTTGGCGGTGCACCGCATTGCGACTTCAAAGTCTTTCTTTTCTTATTAATTCAACTTTAAACCCAGCGTTGGATAGTTGAGGTCAGACCCAAGCCACGTGTCAAGAAGACAATAGCTTTTTATATTTCGAATAATATATCCATGTATATACAAGTAAAATGTATTTTACTTAAAACTTTCGTGACTGCAGGAATTCATATTATTGGTTCTTTCGGTAAAGCCACATAGATAGAAAATAAAATAAAAATAAAAAATTAAAACTATAAATTGCAAATAATAAAAGTAAAAAACCCACGACGTTTCGATCGCAAAACAAGCGGTCTATCTACGTGACTTTAAAGAAAGAACCAAGAAGTAGAATAAACTTCACAAAAGGCGGCTATGTGTCTCCACGACATGAAGCTTAAGCTTGTGCTCGGAGCCAACCAATCAAAATGCCTTCTATCCATAAGCATAGAGACACTGAATAGCGTCAGAATTTCCATTGCTGTGGATCTACAGCAACATGCAGGGAGATACTACACAAAGCAGAATCATGAACTCAAAATAAACACACATAGAGGTTTATATGATGAATAATTCTAATATGCCATAGCCGTGGTGCGGCTGCCTAATATTTGGTTAAGCACACGTCGCTATGAACCTGGCAACCTGACTTAAACTCCAGGCCATGGTTAACATCGGTCACGATTAATATCTGAACCAGTCCTGCACTGACCATTGTACATTATTATTAAGTTAGCAATACGAACTCGCACTTGGACAGCACTCGAAACGTAGCAACTGACGACAAACCACCTGCAGAACGGGCAAGCCAAGATGACCCCGACAAGAACATGTTTTTCTCTTTGTCATCGTCTTGCATTCCCCTCCCCGTGGCGGTATTTATATGAAAAAGGTTGCGTGTGCGTGCTGCAGACATAGTTGCCACCTATCCTGGTTTTACCAGGAACATCCTTTTTTTGAGGCATCTGCCCTGGAAAATTCTGCAAGTCTGCCCAAGACATTAAAAGTCCACAGTTAAGGTCAACCGCATAACACTACACTACTCAGCACAATGCGCGTACATGTGGTTCTCCTCCCCGCATCCGGTACTTGAGATATATTCGTCTTTTGATGACACGTCCCAGTTGATTACGTATCTACGAGGTGGCAACCTCGAGTGGTCACAGAGCGGCGCAAGCGGGCAAGCGGCCGAGGCTCGGCCGCGCGTCTTACCCATGCAGCGGGTGTAGGGGGGGAGGCTCGTAGAAGTAGCGGCCCTCCTGGTGGCGGCTGTTGATGGGGATGGGGGCGTGCAGCGCATGCAGCAGCGGGTGAGGGCCTGCCGTGGTGGTGGGGACGCACACACACATCATCGCACCTCGTCAGTCCGAGCAGCTAAAGTTGAGAGCAGTGCAAGTATGGGGAGGGGGGGGGGAGAGGTGGGTGGTAGGGAGGGCGTTCAATGTGTCACATTGCTTTAACCCCATCGGCCTTCTCCTCCTCCACGGCTCCTACCTCCGCCATCGACCCTCCCTCCGAGCTGTGCCCCACCGTTCCCTAAAATTAGTTACACAAGTGGCGCTTCAGTGGTTGGTCTGCAAAGTGAATGGTGGGGGTGAAAAGAGGTGCAAAGGTCACCAAGAAATAACTCCCCCCCCCCCACAGCGCTATGAAAATGAACATTCCGCAGCAAACTCCCAACATGTGCGTCGTCTACAGGTTTGGGCAGCGAGCGAGAGTCGTGTTCAATATTGAACCCGAGCTTTTAACATCTCTCCCGGCGGTTGATTGGTCCCCCCCTCCCATATCCTCACTCCCCTATCTATGAACAAATAATAATTGTGTTTCTTCTCTCTTTAAATAATTCACGACATTACATCGTAACTCAAAATCACACCATAATTAAAACAAGAAGAGTGATGCCTTGTTATAACAAAAAAAAAACCGTCTACAATACAAGCACTTTGCAACCGCTAAATCTCTCTGCCACCTTGTGAGGGGTTGCGTTCATTATTTGTTTGTGTAAAGTTTTACGTTTCACTCTTGTGCATGGGCCACACAGCTGCCCTATCTCATGTCCCAAGTCACATTCATCACATTTAATGCTCACAGAGACACACAGACACACGCACACGGCCCCACGATCAATCGGTCTGCAGCAGACAGGGTGCCTGGAGGCTCCCCTGGCAGAGAGGCAGGAGGGCCTTCAGCCAACGTGGGTGTCGTCAGCGTCCAGACACCCCTGACGTTTTTGCACGTGGCTTAGAGATGCCCGTATAACGTACACAAATCACGGACATATTTTTTCCGTAAACATACATATTTATCCCTTCAACAAGGCGACATCAATGTTAATTATGCCGATGACTCAAGCACACAAATAGGTTAGTAGCCAGTAGGTACATAGATTTTATATAATTATAGTGCATTAGAACTCCTCTCGTCTGCGATAACATCGGGGGGTGAACTTCGTGGACACTATCTGTAATCTGAACAATAACAACCGGGAACCAATCACTCGTGGAATCCCCCCCCCCAACCTTCCAAAGTGTGAATGTGCCCCTGCACCGAGGCCCACATCAAGACCGTTGGACTCCACCACACAACAACAAATTCTTCCTAAAACTGCATGCATGCACCGAGTTCAACCATACCCAGTTCTGAGAGATATACATAAAGAATTTGCCCGTGACAGTGAAACTTAATTTCCTACGCAGATATAGATCGCCTACCAGCGGAGCAGGTCACAGACTCGCTGAGCAGCTCGTCTAATCAGATGATTCTGGAGTTGTTTTCTGTTGGGTGCTTTGGGGTGAAATTCCATCGGCATATATAACTGTTGGTGGAGCAGTGGTACAGTGGTTAGTGGGCAGCGCTATGGACCGAATTACCTGAGTTCAATTCCTGGCCAGGGCAAACGTGAGTGGCAAGATACATCAGCAATCATAGCCACCCCTACCCCCTCGTCCCCACTACTTCACCACGCGCTGATCAGTGCGTGGTGAAGTATGTCCAAAAAATCCCAATGATCTATATGGCATGGCGAAGCCTTCATCCAGTGGAAAATTGAGAATGGTTGGCTTTTATTTTTGTGATATTTTATGCAGCACTCCTGGCATGCAATAAAAAAACAATAAAATAATACTGCATTTGTGAAAGGTGTTAATGAAAGACATACCGCACATATGGCACTCCATTTCGAAAATATGAAGTTAATTTACCGCGAGTTGGGCTGAAAATGCAATCCAGGAATATTTGACAAATGTGCGAACGATTCACACACATTTCCCTCATCAGACTTGCACCTGGCCAGGCACCCCTATCACAAAGCAGCAGCAACAACGTGGAAACCACGGCGCTCCAAAGCCCGCAAATATTGAGTGTGCTGTGCCACAATAAGATTGTCACACGTCTTTACTCCGTTTTCTAATCGGGTTCGTCTGCCGTACCTCGTCCGTGCGGTGCTTGCGAAGGACCCCGAGCGAGACTCTCACGCCCGCCCTGCGGGTCCCGTGGGCTTAGCTGCTCAAGGGCATGTGGGCGCGCAGATGGTGCTCGTGAATGTACCCACAAGCGGGGTCCCGCTCGTTTACTCTCTCGCTATCCGGGCTAACGTGTTCTCACGGGCGGGCGGTGCGAGCACTCCTTCGTGCTCACGCGCCGCAAAGCTGGCTCGTGCGAAGCTACGTTACCGATCATCAACCGGATCAGTGAGATAATTTAACACGTAGGCTTTCGCGACCAATATTATTCATAATATAGGTTTTTGGGTCAGATCGCGTTATTTAAAAATGTGTCGTAACCCTCCACCACCCGACGCGGCCAAACAGTAAAAAATGTGTCACGTTTTCAAAGGACAAAATAATTCACTTCTTTAGCCCACCGGTGTGCTGAAGAGAGAATCAACAGTGAGATAATTTTGGTTCATTGTCAGTGCTTTCCAGTTAAGGTTAAAAATGTTTATGCATTAGCGATGTATGTCCACCCGTACGCCCATATGTCTGGAACTACCGAGGGGCAAGTACAACTCCCGTAACGATGAGCGAACGTGAATGAATCTGCAGTACAAGGGTGTGCTGCTTTCACGGACTTAACTTCTTGAAAAATGGCCAAATTGATAAAAGCGCTGCCCAAAAAGCACGGAGACATAAACCAGGATAAATCGGACAATTTTCAAATATGCAAACGCATTTCACCCTGACGGCTACCCAACCAGCTTCCATACTGCAAAAATAAATACTCACAAAGACAAACGCATGTTGAAAAACATTACGGAATCTACGCGCATGCATGATTTTTCATAATTGTTGTTTATTTGTTGCTTTTACAGCTTTATTCCGACTGTGCCACTGAAGTCACGAGGTGAAAGTGTCAGTTGGGAACGCTCAGAGCGAAGTGCCACCCCCGAGTGTAAGGGAAGGAGGAGCAGGAGCCGACCTCTGAGATCCATTTAAGTGTCCTTTGTAATTACACGTTATGCCAGGATGATGGGAGGATAGAAGGATCTGGCCAAGATCGGTCACCACAAGAGGGGGAACAACGCTCAGACTCACGAGAGCTCAGTGTTTATCAATGAGCCCACGTTATGTAATAAGGCAACATGACGATACTTACATTAGCAGGGTGCGGACGTTAAATAGGAATTCAAAGGAAGGAAATTCCGACCTCAAACTCCTGTGAGCACAACTGCCCTGCCTGGCTACTCAAGGTACAAAGCAGCGGCACTGGCAATAATTAACCAATTGAGTGAGCAAAGCCCTTGTAAATGAGCATTTGTGACCCGGCTGTGAGGAGGACAGATAGAAGGTTTTATTGGTGGGGGGGGGGGGCCGGGGGGGGGGGGGGCTTGTCCTCTGGGCCCAGGCTGAGCAACAGCACCCCATTAATTCAGCCGAATAAATAAATAAATAACAAAGTTAAATAAAGCAGTCCCAGGGTCCCCGTAATTGTTTTCTCATGTGACTGGGTTCATGACTGCCCCTGACCGAGAGGGCTTCGCGTGCTGCCATAAAGCGCCAGGCAAGGGGGGGGGGGGTAGGAGGTTGGCGAAGGCGTGGGTGGTGCATGTGATAGAGGGTGGGGGTGGCTGTGGGAGGGTGGGGGGGGAGGGGTCATAGGTGCGTGCACAGAAATGGCTGTGAAGTTCAGGATAGGTGCTCACATTGGCTGTGCCCTCGGGCGACGAGCCAGCCGGCAGCTGTATTGGCACTTCCTGCAGCTGTGTGTCGGTGGCTCTCTCTCTCTCTCCCATCGTCGGCTCATTTCAGCCAACCCCTTGCCCTATATGGCCAACATTCCATTACATTAGTCGGCCTTTTCTTCTCCGTCTTCCCACAACCCCTTGAAGTGTCAGTAGCCACTAAATGTCAGCTAAAGAGACGCACAACTAGTTTGGTTACAGGCCCCTAATTAGCCTTTTGGTCATGATTATTAATCGTTGGCGATCGAGGCAGGATTGACAATGTTGACATTATTCCAAACGTTGAACAAACAGGGGGAAGCCATCGCTCATTGATGAAACATTCCGCGTTGTTTAAAGAGCCACGCTGCTTCCAAATTCAGGACGTTCGGCAGAACCATGGCATTCGCAAACATCAACCTGAAATGTGCCAAACATCAACCTGAAATATGCCAAACATTTTCCTTTCTATCCTTGTTCACGTTTAAACCGCCATTGCTATTCGTGTTTCGGCACAAGACCGGCAGCGCTAGGAAGTAAAGTGTATATTTGTAAATTAACTATAAATCCAACATTGCACCCAGGTTATATAATAAACATCATTGGTTTGTATGTTTTTACTTTTTCCACGTCAGATATTTTCCTGCAATTTGCTCTCAAAAAAACATCCGCGGAGGCAATTTTTTGGTTCCTCCCCGAGGTTTATTTCATTCACCTTGTTTTTTTTACAGCTTCAGTGAAGCTTCCTCTGCTTCCCACTGTCCATGGTCTCCTTCACCCCCCCCCCCCCCCCTCAAGTAATCGTGATCAGAGCACAGGAAACGGCCTCGGAGAAGGCCCTGCATGGTCCTGTCCAAACAATGGCTGTCGAATTGCTTCCTGAAAGCTGCTGGTGATGAGAAGCAATAACGTTAGGGCCGTCTGCGGGGGGGGGGGGGGGGCGTCTGCCCTGCGCGCCTTCGCCCCCCCCCCTGCCGCTCCCCCCACCACGCAAATTCGATGCGAGGCATTGCAGCTATTTTCTCAAACATTTCTTTTAAAGGTCAAAGAAGGAGAAAAAAGTACAACCAAAATTTCAACATCCTCGGAGAAACCACAAAAGCGGTGCAGAACAAGCAAAGCCTGCGCTGACAGGGCGGTGATGAATGGGAGGTCTGATT